CATATACAAAATGTAAAGTTTATTCAAGCTAATACATGGTTTCATACATAAATTAATAGGAACAACTTGTGAAAAGATTTCCACAACCAGATGACGATTCCCGGGTAATTATATTTTCTATGTATGATTTTGTTGGGTAAAAACTTAAATATGTCTCTATGTTTATTCACTGTATTCTACATTACAGCTTGAGGAATTAACAAAGGCATTGAGAGATTAAAACAGAACGAAATGCTGATCGTGTAAACCAATGTATTCTTGGTATTAAAGTAAATAAAATTTAATTTGCATTTTCAATTTTTTTATTGCATTTACGGAAAAGGACCAAATACATCTGTAATTCTAAGATTCATTTTAAAAATCAAAGTCAAATCAAAATTTCAATGCATAAATCTTTAGGGAGAGACATGCATAGACAAATATCTCCACATATATTCATTTATTCATTTTTATCAATGTCAGCAAAAATATCGTTGATCAGAATGGAACACGTAATCACCTTTACATTAAACATCATTTATATTAATCTTGTAATTAAAAATATGTATCATAAAATAATTGTCTCCTATGTTTATTTATTCACTTTAGTAAGTGCAAACGGAAATATAACTTTTGTACACTAAGGAAGGAACATTTTAGATATGAAATTAATATTATTAAAAAGATAAAGGAAATAGTCAGTTACAAGTCAATTGTAATGTCTTAGTATACATATTATTCAGGTTAGATCATACAACCGAAAAAAAAAAAAAAAACAGATAGATTTTATGGGAAAATTTTAACCCCATGAAGAAATCAGTAGAATATGCATTTTCAAATGATTAAGCAATAGCAACCAACAAAGGTCCACCCAGAATGCATGACCAAAGCCCTTAGGTATATATAGGTATGAAAGGTAAGGGGGACTTAAGGATGGATCTTAGTTTTGAATAACAAAAATACATAAGAGATAAAACATAAATTTTGTCAAAGTTGCGAAACTTTATTATATAAACACAGACCCCGTCGCTCGCGTTTTCTACGGAGTTCGTAGTTGATCCTTACGTCTCGGATTCGAATCCTAAAGCAGGGCGTGCAGACAGGTCCTTAGGATGAGACAGTATAAACCAATTTCACGCGTCGGTGCTGGCACGAAAGAGATCCCTTACTGCTCAAAAAACCGTAAGCCCAGAGTACAGGTCTAAATTTACAGCATTCAACGGCAAGTGGTTACTTTTCAATATGAGTGAGAAATTCACGAAGGGACGTTAAACAAACAAACATATTTACATATACACAAAAAAAAAAAAAAACTTCTAATGCACTGACACTTGGAAGATATGATTGTGTCAACCAATTAACAATATCGTTTATGTGTATTCAGGTCTGTCTTGAGCAGGTACATTTACTAAAGAGAATGTCTGCTTTAAAAAGGGGGGGGGGGGTTGCAATGGAAAGTTATTTGTAAAATATATTTCAACGCCGATTCTGATTTCTTTGTTATATCCCTCTGGAGCTTTATAAATACTTATTTACAAATAAAATAGTCGCCCGCGTGGCGCAGTGGTTAGAGCGTCTGCTCTAGAGTCGCGAAATAAGAAGTTGATCTTTACATCTCGGGTTCGAATCCTCTGTGGGACGTGGAGACAGGTCCTTTGGATGAGACCATATACACCGAGGTCCCGTGTCGCAGTAGTGCTGGCACGAAAAAGATCCCTCACTGCTCAATGGCCGTAAGTGCCGAGTATAGGACAAAATTTGCAGCTCTCCACCGGCAAGTAGCGGCGTCTCCATATATGAGTGAAAAATTCTCGAGAGGGACGTTAAACAACAAACAAACAAAAACAAATTAAATACTAAGTGTTATAAATACTTTCTAAGTTTTAACCCGAAATTGTGTTTAAGGAAGGAGGTTAAATTAGAAAGAGAGGAAAGTTTGCATGAACGAGGACTTTGAGAAATATTTCATTATTATTGCCATGCAATCATTAAGGCAATTTTAGACTAATATTTCACTGAAAAATTGATTGAATAATTGAGAAGTACGTGTATACAGTATATTGAAATCCCAATATCAATGACATTCAAAAGAACTAATTTAAACATCTTTTATTAAATGAGTAGTGACATCTTAATCTTTAAAAGCTCTACTGGCTATATACAGTATAATTTGTCCAAACCGGCTACCCCCGGTTCCAGAAAATTGGCCGGATTAGACAGAATCCGGAATGTATGAAAAATGCAGGAAAATATTTGAAATTTAATTTCGATGTTTTATTTACGAGTGCAATATATAATATATAAATAAATGATTAAAATCAATCAATATTTTGGAGTCTAGAAATTATTAAAGAACATTGCATGTCTTACTGTATTTTTTCTTTTTCGTTCAAAAAGTTTGGGACTTAACGTGAAATGTTACCAGAGTCAAAATCTACAGACTCGTATATTATACTAAGTATATCACGCGGCTCGGGTTTTGCATGTCAAAGAGCACATTCAATATAACTATAAACACAACTATTTACGATCTGATAATTATTGGCTTGAAATTTTAATTTTTATGAAAAATTTACGCCCCCCCCCCCCCCCCCAATGTAATGGCGCATTTTTGGGACGAGACGTTTGAGTTTCGATCCCGATATATATTTTGATTTGCAAATCGTGTACCTATATTGTATTATTTTTTATTAAACAGTGTGATATGGAGTTAAAATCAAGTTAAATGTGTGAGTACTTTTTTTTTTAATTACTTGTAATCTAATCTTATATTTCTTCAAGTGGGCTGTGTCACCGCCGCGTTTTAGTTCATCTCATGGCACTCATGTAAACACACGTTAGCACATCTCACAAAAGGTGTTAATTGCTTTGAAGTAACTCAGGTTATTATGCGTGGCCGGATTAGAGGAAATAATTACCTTTAATTATGAGCAGTTGGGACCAGTATGGCCGTTCGGAATACAGAATAGACAGTATCCGGTCTACACAGAATTTTTTTTCTAATACATTTATTAAAAAAGTACATGGGACTAAAATTTATAGCCGGAATGGACAAAAATCCGGAGTACTCAGAGTCCGGATTAAACAGATTTTAATATATATATATATATATATATATATATATATATATATATATATATATATATATATATATATATATATATATATATATATATATATATATATATATATATTACATCGTTATAAACGAACTCTGAAGCGTGGACGTGCAAATACGTGTACATCTCTGAGTGTTTTATTTTTTTTTCTGTGAATCAAGCCGACAGTCAGAGAAAATGATGCCTTTGTGCTAACAATAATGAAAAGAGACGTGCATGACTATATATCTGTTGCATATATTTGATATCAAGGTATCATATTATTGATGTTCCATCGTGAATGCAGGGATGAGAGAAAATATTTTCAAAAACCGGATTTATCTATATTGACTCATATTGTACCTTCATCAGAAAGGATATTCATAATGCGGATATCCTCTTTGACATTGATCGCATTTTGTTGATTTCAACTTTGCACAATGCAGAATTGATCACCTTCTTTCTTTAAATGTATTCTTCGTAAAAGTAAATTATGCATGGTGATTTAATTGAGAATAAATACTTCTATTATTTATTTTTCTGTACTTAAAATTACATAATACATTTGTAATATGTATGAAACTCGAAAGAAATCCCATACAAAAGCATTAGGGAGAAATAATAAACAAGGGAAAATTTAAAAAGTATTAAAATCATAAAAATGTAGTTGGAATAAAAGGCAAATATCATTGAAATATTGCCATAATTAAATCGTACAAATTGGTTAACAATTGTTAATTTACTATAAAATACAAGTATTCACAATATTCAAATAAACATATCCATGTAATACTGTTGAAATCCTTTTTTCCCATACAAAATATGCTGATTTCTTATTTCTTTTTTTTTTTTTCTATATTGTTGAATTGTGTAGTATTGAAGGTTGAATGTAATCGGCATTTATATTCTTTAAAGGTAACATTTAAGACTTTTCAGTACAATTAATATTCCTCATTTACTAAGTTACGACCCTGAATGCGTTTCATACGTGACTTCTTAATGCCATGATCTTGACTTCGAATGAATTAGGGTTTTTTTTTTTTTGACTGACTCTTAGGCCACGAGCAACCTTCCTAATTCTGAACAACACTACTTCATGTATACCCACCTTCTTCTTCTCTACATTTAATTTATGACATTATGAAATAATTCAAGAAAAAGGATGTGGAAACAGAACAATTGACCCATGTATTTTTAATTGAATATTTCCGATAATACACTGTAGAAAGAGGCTGTTAAACACCTTGTTTTGTAATGGAATATTAATATTTTAACTGTAAAAAATATTTTGTTTGCCTTTAAATTTGTATGAAATTAGAATTCCGGATGTGCAAACTGAAATGACTTCACATGGAATTTTTTAAGGCTTATACATGTAGAATTAATTAAAGGTTTAGCTCAATACATACTATTTGTTTTTACTTGTTACAACATGCTGCAATTTTATTGCAAGCAGATGCTGTAAAGCTCATCTATTTGGTGATACCCAAAAAAATTCAAAATGAAATCCACCGTAACATTTGTTGTTTTTTAACTATTATATATAAATGCATAAATTTCCCTTTTACAAAAGACAAAGTCAGATTGAAAAGGTAGGTTAGATATTATTTTTTTTTTTACTAACATTCAAAAAAGTTTCATGTAGTGGTTTTATTTTATGAAATTGATTCCTATGTTGTTGTTTTTTTTCTTTTGATACTTCGAGGTGTATCAAAAGATTTAGATTGCATTAACTGTTACTATCGTTTAATCCTGAAACATTCTATTGATCTCCATTAATCGTCATCTCTATGTGCCCTTCTTTCAATAATCTTTCATATTCCTCCTTTTTTGGCGCTTTTTGATTTCGGTGTTTTCATATCTTTTTAGTGGATTTTCTTTATTTGATACATTTCCAGAATGAAGACCACAGTGTTGCTCTGCATTTTACTTTTCACGTATTTTCTGTTTGACGAAGCGGAAGCAGGCTGGAGGAGACGATGGAGGGTGCGTTGGAGGCGTGTGAGGTGTAAGTGTAGGGGACTTGGATGTGGATGCACATTTAAGAAGAGAAATCTGGTAATTTTAAGTCTCTGAAGACAATTTTTTTTCATTAAAAAACATGATTATTAGCATCATCCTTGTATATAATACTGTTTTGCATGATGAGATAATTTCCCTCCAACTCTTATTATTCAAATTTAAATTTTTTCTTGTATGTTACACTGCATAATAGTAACACCGTTCACGTTTTTTTTTAATGTTCATTTTTACTGACGAATGATGTCTTTTCTACTAGATATTACATGATTTTTTTTATTCATTAAATAATAGGAACAACTTGAGAAAAGATTTCCACAACCAGATAACAATGCCCAGGTAATTTTACTTTATGATGTATGGTTTTATTTGGGGAAAACTTAATTCATATTAGTGCAATCATTAAATTAATACACTTGAGTTTTTGAAACGATCATGTGTTAGATTGTACATGAATTACATAAGACGAAGCAGAGTAAAGCCGCTAAAATATGATAACCGCTAACATAAGTACCATTACAGTTAATCGTTTCATGATATGTATTATTACAGCTTCAGGATTTGACAGCAGACGCAATGAGAGATTGAGTCAATACGAAATGCTGGTCGCTAGTACCAATGTCCACTTTATTTTCAAAATAAATGAAATTTAAGTTGCATTTTAAATTGTTTTGTTGTTTGTCCAGCTGTACTTACGGAAAAGATCATTCATGTCAAAGCTTATTTTACAATTTAAAGTCATGTAATGAAAGCATGAAAGCATAAATTACTGGGGTAAGACATTTATTCTCACATATCTCCATACTGATGCGCGCTCATGAGATTTAATTTCTTTCGGAAGTGTATACAAGATTTAAATGAGCAATGAACTATAAAGATATGAATAATGTAACCCTTTTATCAAGGCTCTAACGTATACTTGCATTTCTTAAAAACAATGTAAGTCATATACAGTATCGATTTTGATGCACCAGGTGCTCATTTCGACAAATTATGTCTCCTCAGCGATGCTCAATCCGAAACGTTGGAAATCCAAAATATTTAAATAAAAAAGACTTGAAAAAGCTGAAAAAGATGCCAAAACCTGGAGCCAAATACGTGGAAGAATCAGAGCTATGCATGAGGGAGATAATCCTTAATTTTGAAACAAATGTCTAAATCTTACCACAAGATTTAAATATATATCCGTACTTTGAAGCTAGTACCGAAGTACTAGGTTACTGGGCTGTAGAGACCCTCAGGGACTAACAGTAAAAATCATTTAAAGGGTAATCTATATAAAGATGCTACACTATTATGAGAGTCTTGATTTTTAGAATAAATGTACTATATTTAGTGGATTTTTCCGAAAGAAAAAAATAAATGTAAGTTCATAGAATATTTTTAAACATATTTTTACAACTTGAAAGAGAACATTACATGATTAGGAATAAGCCTGTAAAAATTGACTTCATAGATATTGTAAAACATTCATTTATGAATTCAAAACACAGAGGCATATGTAGCTGTTCCAAACAAATACTTTAACTGGGAGAGGACTAAAACAGGCCGTACTAGCTGCCACTCACTTCGTGGATATATTTTTATATTGAATTGAAATGAATCTTCACTTGGGTTTCTTTTTCAATCCTCACTTTGATCAACTTAAATATCCAAGTGTACTTTGACAACATTTATTCTGAGTTATCATGATCGTAAAAACGATCAAAGAAAATTCAAATTTGAAAAGGTTTTCTGAATTATGAAGCAATACAATCTAAAATAATAGCAATCGTCTTTATACTTTTTATGAATTCCTTGAAAATTTTTACCATATTAGATTATTCTCTAGAATATTAAAGTATTGGGTGATATTAAGTTTATTTACATTAATTTGCTTCATTATTTATATACCTGCATTTCATAATATTTACAAAAGTATATGGAATTTTGAATTCCAATTTCGGAAAATGTAATATATTTACAAAGTATTATGAGGTATTTAATGGTTGAAAATAGAACGCTTTGGATTGACACCTTTGTGGAAATATTATGCAGAATATTTTTTAGGCGATGTGACTCTTTTGAATCATCTAATATTCAAATATATATATATATATATATATATATATATATATATATATATATATATATATATATATATATATATATATATATATATATATATATATACATATATATATATATATAAAGCACTAAAAACCAACAACACTGTATATCCTAAGTGTCGGATCTACTAAGTAGATACAAGGTCACGGATGGAAATTTATATAAAGCACTAAAAATGACCAACGACACGAACAATAATAATTGTCAAATTTTCGGGACGACTTGTCCCTTCCTCAGGGCAAAAAAAAAAAAAAAATTAAGAAGTCATAAAAACAAAGGAAATAAAGAAACAAAAACAACTAGCACTACTACTACTAAACTACCCTAAATATTTACAGTGTTACATGTTTAATTTGAAGTTTATAAACAGTTGTGAACAAAGAAATCCGGAGCGCTATGAATTGCGTCCGGTCTATCGGGTGTACTCTGGTGAAGTGCGATTTAAATAATTGAACGAATTAATTATCGCTAATTAATTACGACAAAACAGTATATCGTACATTGTCTTATTTTCTCAAAATAGCGTAACTATACATGATAAAAAGAAATTAAAGAAAGATAATATGGAAGGACAATTTTAAAATATGAATTTGGATATATTATAAATTTGGAAATCAGATAAAAGAAATAAACAAAAATGTAAGCTGTAAATATTTGGGTAGGTTTTCCCAGAATTGCTAATTCGAATTAACGGTATATATATATATAATTATATATATATATATATATATATATATATATATATATATATATATATATATATATATATATATATATATATATATATATATATATATATATATATATATATATATATATATATATATATATATATATATATATATATATAATTATACGAGGCTACATTTCAAATGAGATTTTTTTCATAAAGAGATGAATGTCACGTAAATATTTACACATTTTCCATAATGTTTACTCCGAACACATTTGCACGTCCAAAATTCTTCTTTAGTATATGATGAATTCTTAACAATTATACACATCCTTTCCTTTAAAGAAATTTGTGCAACAATCTTTTTTGACAAAAGTAAATGATAAAATTCTATTATATGAATTAATCAATAAACATGTAAGGGAAAAAAGGGGCTCTACAAAAACAAAACGTAAGAAGATTTTTAAGAGTTTCACTTTTTTTTCAAACAATAATAAAATAATTAATCAATAATTAATAATTAAACACGTAATAATTGGTTTATCGAAATATAACTTAGAATTGGTCCTAAGAGGATAAAAAAGGGAAAGTTTGTGCACTCTACATGACTTTTGAAACATGTGTCCTATACTGACTCAATTTAATATGACACGACATTTCAAGGAACAAGAATTAAAAATATATATATATATCATCTTGACATTTTTGGATGTTCCTGTTTGCTTTGCTCTCAATTTTTATTGTTTAAATCCATATTTCATTTAATGATTGATTTAATCTTACTGAGTCCATTCCGAAATTGAACATGCAATTTTTACGATTTTGAAAATTGCATCGTACATTTAATAGAGAACGTTTCATTAAAAAAAAAATCATAAATAAAGAATTTCATTGAGGACTTTCCTCGACCATCATGATGGTTACAAATCATAAAAAATAGAATGATTTTCAAAACAAAGTTAATGAACTTTCTCCAATCTTTTATATTTCTATATTTAAGTAGAATCATCACATTCGTAAAAGATTGCATCGATCTAAACTTCTAACAAATACAATGAAATTATATTTGCTTGTACATTTTATTGACAATATTTAAGGGAGCTTATTTGCATTTATTTTGGCACATCTCTTTTCATCTCTTAATATATCGATTAGAAATCCTTACTGTAATTACTTATTACACATCAACATGTTGAATACAAATACATTCGTGCATTTACTACAATCTAAAATATCATACAACCTCCTTCTCCTCGTTGTCTTTGCAGAAATGCAGCATAAATCAGCATGTTTTGTATTTTTTATTTACCTAATTGTCATTTGAATTTGAAATTTGGAATGAAATTTTAGAGAAATATTACAAAATGTTTATTCTTTTACAATATATATCTTTCTTACAAGTGTGTGTAAAATCATAAATAAATCAATTGAAGCAAACCTTATACTTTCTGTAAAAGGGTTCAATAACAGAAGTGTTAAAATAAACATACTGAACAAATAAAAAGTTGGCAAGTCCACACAGATATCCTTATACAAGTGCATTGATAAAGATAAACTTATTGTTTAAAAACAGATTTTTCAATGTATAAGTGATAAATTCACGCTTAGAAGCTTTTAAGGCTATAATTTACTAAGAAAAATATTGATTATAAACAAATTTATTATTTGTTTTATTGAATGAAATAGATTAGAACAATCCATTAAGTGTAGACATGAAGATAGACACGTTCGCTAGTTAAACAAGATTGTTTTTGTTGATTAAGGCAACAGTTAGTAACAAGAGAACCGATGTCCTTGTGGAAAAGATATACGTAAAATGCATGACCATATGTCTGTGAAGCATGTAATTAATATCTAGCTCTTAAATTATCTAAGGTCCGGTCCATATGGACCAAAGAGAAATGGAGCTTCTTTCTATATCCGGAATACAATTATAATGACACATTTAGTGTATGAGAGACAGCCATGAAACATCCTAGAAATACTATGAATAATTGGTCAGCTGCCCTATGAAAATAGTCTTTGTATACATGTACAAGTGATGCAATTGGGACAAAATATTCGTGTGTTTTCTTTTTTCTATACCAAGCTTGTCTTTAAAAAAAATAGATTGTAGAGCTAGCGCTGTAGCTATTATTATACAAAAGCTCAAGTAAAAGTTCATTTATTCTCTCTCAAGAAAATGATCAGAAGGCAAGTGGTAGGTGAACGGTGCATACTACACTGTAAACGATGAGCACACGCTAAAAAGTTTACTTTGTATGGTATTGTGTTACTATTTTGAGACAAAAGAGAAAGCAAATTTTATTGTTTGCTTAGGAAATGTTTAAAGAGATGCAAAAAATATAATAGAGGGGGCATCCTAATTTCTACACATGTCGCATCCTTTTTCAGAGTTCAATTCACATGCTATGCTGTTGTTGAAAATATAGGATTTGTTATAGTAAATACATGTATCTAATTTTAAAGAAAACGAAACTTTGATATCGTCAGTAATACAAAATGATCTTTAATCTCTTTTGTATATTTATATTAATTGAAAGATTTCCAATTACGTTAAATGTTAGAAAAAGGGATTTAGGAATAATTCTCTTGGTTCATACATTGTGATAAACATTGCATGCATGAATTGAACCTTTCTTATACATGTGATTAAATCAACACAAGTTTTAACAACAAGAACACTTATTATTTTTCGGATGCATGATTGAACTCAAAAATGATGAAACATTGTCTTTTAAAGTATGTCTAATGTTGTGTCATACAAAATGGACGAAGAGGATAACTACTAATTTCAGTGAAATAAAATTTAGTATAAACATCATTTTTTTCGAGAGAAAAAAAATTGGATTATAATGGGAGAGGATGCAATAAAACTACATTGTATTTTAGTGTGGACTCATAATAGAGATGATAATTACTCATATCCTCTTTTTGATACATTTGTTTTCTAAAAATAGGAAAATTACCCTTGACATGTAAATTACACCCTATTCCAAATGTTCCAAAGCTATTTTTGTGCTCACAAGCCACATAACTGTCGTACATCTACCCATATGTTGCATAAATCTCCAAAGCATATAAATGGGAAGTAGATTATTATTGCCAATAATCGAAAATATTCATAGAATAAAAGGTAAGACATTTCTTAGAATACTTTTATGTGGATTCGTCATGTTAATGCATGTAGGGTATCAACTTTTCTTTTTTGTCGTAGTCTATGTTTATGTGGGGAAGGCTTCTTTCCTAATGAATATGTTTGTTGTTAGATGAAATATATGAAGATAACGAACATTATTCAGGCTCAAAAGTCCATCAAACAATCTAAGTAAAAGAACCCTCTTTCATTCAGCCATTCACATTAATTTTAATTCAAATGAAATTTAACAAAATGTGCTTTAGAGCAATAAATGTCATAATTCGACAGTCTTAAAAAAGCATCTAAAAAGAGTATTCAATAGGTAAATATGCAGTTTTAGTTCAAACACACATGCAGTGGTGAAAGTTTAAATTAGCAGGAGGGAATACTATTGTTTCAAAATTTGATCTGAACAAGTGACTTAACATCCAGAGCCTAACACCCCAGTATATTTATGACTAATGGTAAGGAATCAAACTGACACATGCGGTATGTTTCAATCTACCTAGGAAATACTCATATTTAGCAATCAATTTCTAGCATTTGAAATAATAATGAATAATATGAATAAGGAGTATGCTAATTTGCATCAACTAAAAAAAAAATAACTCACGGTGAAAAGGGTGGGGTTAGGGGTAATTCCAAAGTTAGTAATATTTTTATACTAAAACTACATCATTTGTAATGGGTTTATATATCACAAAGAACAAAAATGTCTATTTTATAGATCATATTTTCTTTACTATAACTGACAAATCCCTATATCTGCAATAACGTTCAACAGCGATCATTCATTTTACCAATTTAACCTTACTTTAAACTTAAACATTTTACATATTTGCAGAACAAATACTATCTTGAACATTAATACGGGAATAATGTTAAGAGCCATTCTCTGTAATGACTTGAACTTTTATATAGGAGCTGTGGCACGCATAGTCTCAGAATTTCTCCAAACTCTCTATGATAAAAATCTTTGATACCGTAAACTCAAATCAGGCAAAAAATGGTTGCTACGTGTCATGGTTACCATAGCAACATGTCCTAAAATTTGAAAAATGGCATTTTTCAACATCTTGAGAGTCCCACGGTTAACGTTTGCAGCAAAGCAAATAAGTGGCAATGACTGTTTCTAAAAGTTGAAGGCCTGGTGTCTTAAATGCATGATAAACATGTTTGTAAATCATCTATATCATACGTTACTATGGAAACAAAGTATTCAAAAGTAATAATTTTGTTCATTTAATTTTATAAAGTCATACACTTAAGAATAAAAACAATTATAGGTTGAAATGCAAGCAAATAATAGAGAAGAGATCCTTGTATCATATACCAAGGACAAAATATGATATTTCTTATAGGTTGGCAATGGTTGCCATGGTTTTAATACCAAGAAGGGATTTTATATTTACTCTCTTAGTGTTTTAATCTTATCCTATCTTTTTAAAAAGTATATTTCTATATAACTGATGGTCAATTTTTAAAGGCCTTGGTGTGACCCTAATTTTCATATTTCAAAAAATTCAATTTCAATTCTTTAAATAGTCCGTTGCTATGGAAATAAGGCGAAAAAGCATGCATAAAAATCTGAAAAAAACTAGTACTCTGTTTCCTTGGATATGTACCGTTATATGTAGATTCCCAAAACTTTAATAACTGATATATGTGAACAACTAACCCGACTTTCAATTTTGACTATCACCCAATCTCTAACTGGATGCAAAAAGCTGGCACATAGGGTCTAATATTGACAAAAATTAACAAAATCGAACATTTTCTCTTCTTGGTAACCATAGCAACAGTGTTGTATTTTTCAACAACCTTTATCAATATATGATATTCAACTTTAGGTCTACGAGATAAGTACTATTCAAGGTGATTCAAATAAAATGTTTCTTGATTAAAAGGTTAGTAAATTCCTAAAGCAGCAAAAAAATATCTTTTTAAACAACTAGTACGTTGTTTCCATGGTTACACTGCAAAGTAACGATTTATCTCAATTTTTCTTATGTCGTCGGTGTTGCAAGGTCATAAGGATGCATATGTGCCAGTCATGAATTTTGTTGTTTTTCCTCACGATAGTAGCATTAACCCAATTCTAGCAACAGATTTTGCATGGTGACATTGTGTTACCATGGCAACCATGAAAGTTATTTTTAGAATAATATTGCCAATACCTAAATACATAAGGTCAAATATTTTTTATTCTTTTTCTTACGTTGATTGAGTTTGATCATGTAACATCTATCATTTGTAACTATAGAGCATTTTTCAGCATCTAAAATGTATTCCAAATGTACCCATGGTTACCACTTACTTAGAGATAAATTCTAAATAGTTTCTTTAGAGCATAAGTGGCAACAAGGTGTCAGGTTTTGGGGAGAATGGTTTGTTTGTTTTTCTTAGTATTTATTAAGGCTTAATAAAGATTTAAAGTAGCTAAAAATCTCAATTTTTCAACTTTTCTGGATGTTACCATGGCAACCAAGACACATAGCAACGAAATTTTATTTGATATATGTTTCTGGTGTCAAGTTGTAATAATGGGCAAAGTTTCATCAAAATCGGTGACCATGCGTGGCAAAGAAGTTTAAGTGGTTACAGAGAATCGCTATTAATCTACTCTGGTGATTTCGGCACTGAAATACCTATTTTTTTTTATTAAATATACCTTTTTTCTAAAATATGTGTTTGCCTGATTTACTGTAATGCTTATATGTAGCACTTTTTATGTAGATGAGAGGTGTGCTTTTCTTGGTTTTCTTGTTGTCTCTTCATTGTCTGATCCAAGTGGGTGAAACCAAAGCAGCAGCGAGTGCCAAACACTGTCACTGCTGGTGGAGAAGATGTTATTGTCACCGAGATCTACAGGTGAAATATTGCTTTAGCTACAAAAATGCTTTTCAATCATCTAGCATAGTACAAAAGGCCTTCCAAATGCATGTTTCGTGCTTTCACTCGGAAGGACTCGGAAACTAGGCAAACCATTCATCGACATCTTTCATCTATTCAATATAAAAAAAGAATTAAAGAAAAATATGAATTTAAATATTCAACAGTTTCTTTCCAGGAATAAAGATAAAATGACAGAATTTATTCTTGCCTTACTACCAAAGAGAGTTATCTTTTCAATTGGTGCTAAGATTATTGTTTGGTAAAAATTAGCTTAAGAATCTAAACTGAAAAAAAAGGAAGTAAAGAAAATAAACTGATAAAAAGTTAAGTTGGGCTCAGTAACTTCTCATTAACGAAGCACTCTTTCTAGGCTATTTATAAACCGAGTTTTAATTTCAGCGAACATGACTCCGTAGTGTAAGAGCACTAATCTAATATCATAACAAAATTAAGTTTTAGAACAATGGTAATTCAAAATATATATAGTAAACGAAGAAAACAATTAGTATCATTAATTATGCTTTAGGTATCTTGATTTCAGTCACCATACGGAACATTTCTATCTGGTATTTATTTATTTAAAACACTTTCAAAATGTGGTAAATGGTGAAGTTTTATATGAAATATGTAGGGCTTTTTCTTTGAACTAGTACTAAAAGTGGATTTGTCAAAAGTTGTTTCTAAAATGATAATAGATGCATAAATATAAATTTTAAAAAAAAATCTAACCTGCATTTTAACCTGAAAATGATTTTCCTATTTTAAAGATTTTTTTTCTTCATTTTTAACTTTAATGTGAAAATATCCTTAACTTAACTAAAATTTCATTTTGATATAAAATTCTTGATAAGAGATAAAAGTTCTCAGAGGTAACACTTTCTTCCTCAAAATTTATATTCTTATGTATTTCAGAACTTTGTAAAGGATCAAGAAAAAAGAGTAAGTAAAATTGATTTTAATATAAAAATGCTATTGTTACCATTTTGGTTCCTTGAACATGAGTTTATTTGCCGTTTATCTTAGATCGTTAACAGCTCAGTACCAAATAAATTATTTTTTATTGGTATAAATATATTTCAATTAGATGGAAGAAGAAATTGAAGCAGAAGCAGATGAGTAGACCTTTCTGAGAACCGGACGGACATCTTATTTCTTATTGAGAACAAAAGGTTCCTGTATTTTTCTTTGTAAAACAATACCTGGTAGTAATTTCTGCTGTCCATTAAATAATTTTCCAGCATTCAAAGTTGCATTTCGGTTTATTTTGTTACTACGCAGCACGGTAAAGCCGAAGTGTTAAGAATTCACATGAATTTTATATCAATTAAAAAAAAAAACCATAGTTTACCCCGATCTCTATTGAAATTTATTTGGTCAATTAAATTAAAAGTCGCATGATAAATGCATCTTATGGATACTGCCTGGAGGTCATATCCCTAACAAAAATTTACTATAGTTAACTATAGTTTACTATAGTTAACTATTTTGAAAAGTTTGATACATTTATTCACTAAGAAAATTTACTCTGTAATTTTTTATGAGATTTCAAAGCTTAAAATCTCTTAAATTCAATAATAGTAATATCAAATTTGGAAATAATATGTGCATATACAAATAATATTTCACCTTAATGTAAAAAATGTGCAGGTATGAATTGAAGAACAAAAAAAAAAATGTAACGATCTGAAATCCATAGTAAACATACTTTAATTTACTATAGTGAAAAAACTTTGATACTATAGTAAACTATATTTAACTATTATAGCAAACTATTGGACTTTTTTGTTAGGGATTACAAGGGCATGCAATAGATCAAATAGAAAAGAAAACATTCACAGGATGAAATTACACCATTCAGTCGATGGACTGGTAACCGAATGCCCACTGAATGGTGACTGAAATGTCACTGAACAGATTCTTTCCCGTGACTTTTCCGTGATCTTTCAATTACCATTCAGTCGACTGAATGGCAGATGCATTTCAGTGGCCTTTCAGTTATATTTCAGTTGTATCCTTCTATTGAGTAATCGGCTTATTTTTGACTAAAAAATAATTTCACGTGGTATTAAATTTATCTATTTTCGAAAAAAAAAAATCATTTTTAAATCTTAAGTTTCCCGTTCCATATGCAGCAAAGAGGAAAATCTGTGCATTCTTAAACCGGAATTAAACTATTATGAGGCATAGGGTATCTAGAGAAAATATAATGATACGAATATATATCTTTCAGGATATCCTGTTCTATCGATGCAATACAAGCCAACGACATCTGACAATTTGTCTGAAAATAAAAAATAAGCATTTTGTAATTTATTAAGGAGAAATATGCATGATATATGTTTCTGTCATCAAAATATCTTGACAATTGCCATGAATGAGTGCCTCAAAGAAATATTGAGCAATGTTCAATCACAAAATTCAAACCAATCACAAATCAGCAAAAAAAAAAAAAAAAAAAAAAAAAAAAAAAAAAAAAAAAACAGGATAATTGCGAATTAATTACAAGAAAAAATATAATATTATCACATGTTTCAAAAGTGGGGATATGTCATGGACATTACAACTATTAGAATTAGAATAGAAGTATCAGGAAATTTAAGTGTTTTATTTAAGTCGCTTTTATTTCGTGTATTTCATTTATTCAAAATGTATTTTCATATATCACGCATTGCACAAATTTGCACGTGCATCACATGGGCAGATACAGGATTTGTGATTGGGGGGGTGGGGGGTGGATAACTTCGTTCAGGCAGGGGTCTGGGGGCCGCCTTAAGACCCCCAGTGGGTCCAGCTCCTGGGTTTTCGTGAATTTTAAGAGTAAAACCAGGCACAAAAATGGCGGTATTGATTAGTTATGTACACTATGATATTTCACTTTTTAAAAGAAAAAAACACACACACACACACACACACACATACAAAAAAAAAAACAAAACATTTACAAGGTATGTGTGTCGGGTTACTTCGACCGCACACGGGGTATTTTCGATCGATGTGCAAATACATGTATAAACGAAATTATTCGCGTCATCTCTAATTCAAAAATATATATTAATTTAAATCATTCTTTTGTAAAACATAAAAGTTTGTGAAAAAATGCTGACAAAAAAGAAGTAATTTTCAAAATGTACCTAATTTGAAGACATTAAGTGCACCAGGCGCCTAGGGACTGATTTACCAATTTGTCAAGGCATGGTACAAATGTATATATATGCGCAAGCATCTAAACCACATCTAAACAGAACAGATGATTTTTTCACTGTTCTAGAACTAGTTTCTACGGAGTATTCTTGTACATAATACTTATCCTAATAATTTTTTATACGGACGGTGGTCATGATTTTTTTTCTGGTAACAAATAGCATTGCGTCATTTTCATTGGTCGAACTGAGTTACACGCTGATGCCGTATTCATGCATGGGTAACTTCGGCCGCTTTCTGTTCAGCTGATTTGTATTTTATTTGTAAAAACTAAATACTATAAATTAAAAAGGTATGAATTTAAGTTGCAAAATTAAACATGGCTGATAAATTTCACGTCAGGAATATCCACTGTGTCTTTCTATATATACAAGATAGAAATCATACTTGTTGTTTGTGATGCCTGAAAGGGCCCCGAATTCGAATTGGAAATAAAGATTCTATCTATCTATCTATACAAGATATTTTCAGAGGTGATAAACTGATAATTCCCCGCAATGGTTTAAAAATACTCGTCCGTAATTTTTCGGGCGATAAAGTTTCTTCTTGGATATAAAATAAATTTCGCATATTATAATCGACATTGATTTGTATATGGAAATGCATTTTCTCTCTGCATAAAATAGATGTGTGTACACTATGATGGAACAAATTATTTTAAGGTATTTATGAACGGTCGAAATTAAGCAGGTGGTCGAAGTTACACCATCCTTACCTATATCCTGACGTTTAATTCCATTTATATGGGAAAATTATGAGATGTGTGTAATGAAAAAAGTCTTGTATCTATGTAAGTAAATTACTACACCATTTGATAAATAAATACATCAATCAGTGGAAGGGTTTGTAACGTAGACCGTCTGATTTTAAATTCATTTATTTACCTTCGACCAGCCTTTAAATATTGCAGTATTTTTCCTTGCATCATGATAGGAAATTGACAAGTGCAGTCTACCCTTCAAACGAAATCGGGAGACGTTTTCCGGTTTGAATAATTATGAGATAATATTCATAGCCTAGGGAATGCAAGGTTTTCAGACTTGATTTTTAAGAAAACCGATACTTGGTCATTAAATAAATTACCATTTTTTTAATTGACCATTAATTATAAAACCAAAGTTTGGCATTATTAATATTAGTCATGTCATACTTAGCAAATTTTAGGGGGGGGGGGGGGGTGCGCCCCCCACGCCCCCCGCCCCTGAAATCCGCCAGTGCATCATAAATGCTTGCAAAATCTTAATCGAAGATTTTTCATTTCATTATTAACCCCTAGAAATGCACTGTGATACTATTTTAAAATTAGTGTTTTTTTTTTTTTTTTTTTTTTTTTTTTTTTTTTTTTTTTTTTCTTCAAACTTTGTAAATAAACATGCAATAGCTAAACAAAAGTCAAATATAAGATATATTGACTGCCGTCATGAGAAAAGGGCCCTTATCTTTTGACGTCACAATGCGCAGAAAACGACGTCAAACTTGGAAGTGAGATTTTTTTTTTCGACTGCGTTTTGTGTTCACGTGTAAAGAGAAAGAAATAAAACTGGATTTTCAGGTGTAACAAAATATCAAATTGAACAAAATTTGAAGGAGACACTTTTAATTAAAAACATTTTTTTTTTTACTATTTAGAACATTTATTTATTCATCATCATGTTTCTGTGTAAATATTTTACATTACATAACCCCAACGCTACATTGAACACTTTGTCAGGTATAGAGCGATTAAAAGCGATTTCTACATAGAATGCAAAACTAAAGATTTTTTTTTTTTTCTGAGCAAGTTGCAAATATACGAAAGCCTATTATAATCAAACTACGGTAAAAAAAAATTAAAAGGCGTTATAACGCCTTTTCAAAAGGCGTTATAACGCGGAAAAAGGCGTAATAACGCAAATAAAGGCGTAATTACGCCTTTCCAAAAGGCGTATTTCTCCTTTCTAAAAGTGTTATTACGCCTTTCCAAAAGGTTTTATTACGCCTTTTGAAAAAGCGTTATTACGCCTCTTTTTTTTTTTTTTTTCAATACATGACTTACTTAGCCCACCCTGGGGGCTGATTATGATTAGATTTCTAGGAAAAAAGATTTTGAAATATGTAAAATATTTTTCAGTGTTAAACCAACTTAGTCCTTCTCTGATGCCAGACGCTTCTACCAAGGTGTATGGATTTCAGAAATTTTGTTGAAGGCTAATTGCTCATTATACCTATGCAAATACTTTCCCTGTTTTTTTACCAAGAGGAGAGAAAAATATTTTCAAATTTGACATGAATTTTTAATACGTGGCTAGCAAAGCCCAAAGCTGGTTCTGTCTATATCCTGGATTTTCAAAAGTAGAGTGATGACTTCTCTTAATATGCATGCAAAGTGCAAACAACTGTCTGCGAGATGTGCAGGAATATAGATAATACTATAATTTATAATATAATTTATAATATTAAAACTATAATCTAAATATAGCATATATAAAGATGGCTTTGGTTCAATCTTTCATATATTTACTATTTTAAAATAACGCCTTTCCATTTTTGGATACAACTCCTTTTCAAACAGGCCCGGGTAGTACGAATGTGACTGGGGGGGGGGGGGGGGGGGGCACCCCACTTTTTGGGAGAATAGTCTTGCAATAGTTTAAATATAAAAAATCATTTATTGATTGCTTGGTCCCTCAACATTTTGTTGCAGTATGGTTAAACTCGGGCAAGTCATTGCATTTAAAAAAGTTTTACCAAAAAATTAGAAAAAGTTTCCCCTCAAGTTTAGGCAGTTTATTTTTTTTGGGGGGGGGGGTGTCTTGTTTTTTTTGTTTGCTTGACAATTTTATGGGAACCCCCCCCCCCCCCCACACACACACACACCTTAAAAGCACGGGCTTGTCAAAGACATAATAATGGCCCTTCAAAAGGCATAATAACGCCTTTTTGAAAGGCGTATTAATGCCTTTTAAAAAGGCGTAATAACGCCTTTTAAAAGGCCTAATAACGCCTTTTAAAAAGGCGTAATAACGCCTTTTAGAAAGGCGTTATAACGCCTCTTAGAAAGGCGTA